GAGAAAAAAACAGGGATGGAAAAAGTTCAAAGGGAGACAAAAGTTCAAAGACAGAAAAAGGGAATAGTTGGAGATCAGGAAAACAGGAATGAAAGAAGCTAAAAATCTACTGGATCCCTTCCCTGCTTTAGCTCTTGTTTTCCTATTTCTACCTATTTATATTTTCACTGACATTCAGTCTTACCTTTAGGCAGCAGGCAGACAGATTCAAGCAAAACATGTCCTCTGAAGGTCCATGCAGCAACAAGGAGCTGCCCTCCCCCCGCAGGCACCTAACCCTGCCACAACAGGTTTGTGTGTGACTGAAATGGCATTGACACACTACTCAGACTCACACTTGAATCACACTTGAGAATAAGGCACCAAACCTGAACTGTGGTTACCTGAATACAGAGAAGATTGTTACCATTGCCTGCAAATCTCTCAGGCGCTGGATCTGTATCAGAGTTGTCAACCCTACCTTTGGCCCCTCCAGAGCTGCCTCCTGAGGGTCTGGCTGCACTTGTAGCAAAACCCCCGTTTTTCTTTTTTTCTTTTTAAATGCATTCCCTCCCCTTCCCCAACCATTTCTGACTTCGTCTCTCCCTCTCTATTCCCTATAGATAAGTATAAGTGAGTTAAGACATAGGATACCTCTAGCATTTGATTTTGGTAGCGAGTTGTATTTGTTTTGTTTTTTCTCCTTCTTTATATTGTAAAAAAAAAATAAAAAAAAAGCTCCCTCTGAATGACCGAACCATCAACACCAATACCTGGACCAATGACCCAGCCCTTGGAACCAACCTCAGCATTCAAGAAACCAAAGATGAGGCAACCCACCATTGTGCCAGGCTGCACATGCTCAGTAAGAAGTAGCGAAGACTGACTCCTTGGGATGCCCTCTCCATCTGGACCAGCACTACACCACACTACCTATCCACCCAGAGGCCCTGCCAGCGACCCCGCTCTCGACAACACCTACTGGACAAGGACCCCTTTCCAGCCTGGGTAGGTAGCGATCACCCCCCACCCCCTCTTCAACCAAGGGCTTGGACTCTGCTTATCTTCCCTACATGGACTCCAGCCCTTCCACTGAGTCTCTTTCTCCTGCTGCCATTGTGAGTGCTTGTCTGCGTGTGTGTGTGTGTGTGTGTGTGTGTGTGTGTTTGTGTGTGTGTAAGAACCAAGCTGGTACAGTGTTTATTTAATAAAACTGTTATTTGGACCCCTGCGTTGGGTTTTGCTTTACTCCGGTTCCAGCCCTGCTCCAATCTCAGCTCCTCGCCCCTCTAACTTCTGTCTCATTTCTCCCTCTCCTGCTTCTGGCTCACCGCCACCTCCAACACCTGTCCTGAGCTCCTCTCTGCCTGCAAACCCCCTGTCTCTTTGCAACTGTCTTGTACCCACTGCCTTTTCCCCAGATCTCTGCCACTACTATTGTTTTGTCTCCACTGCCTTTTCTCCTGATCTCTGCCACTGTTATTGCCTTGTCCCCACTGCCTTTCCCCCTGAGCTCCCAGGTTTGTGCCTCAGTTTCTTTTGTGGCTGTCTTCTCCTTGCCACCGCTTATCTGCCCCCACCTCTCCCTCCCAATATCTCAGCTGTCTGCTTCAGTTTCCAGCCCCAAGCTCCCAGGTTTCTGTCTCTCTCTGCTTCCTGGCTGTCTCCTCCTTGCCACCGGGCTTTTTCCTTTGCACCGGTGACTTTGAGTAACCCTGGGGCCACTTTATCTTAAGTAACCCCAAGCCTCAGTTCCTCAGCCAGCTTCTCTCTATGACCATGCGTCCCACCCCTCCCACCCCCTGCGCACCCTGCACCACACCTCAGGATCGTTCCCCATTACACATGGACGCAGCTAGCGGGTGCTCCCCCTGCCGTGGCCGCTGCCCACACCATGGCACATGCCACCTCCCCACCATGCACCCAGGGCCACTCCCCACTCCATGCAGCTGGCGAGCGCTCCCCGTGCTGTGGCCACTCCCTTCATCACAACCTGTGGCTGCATGCCACACCTCTCCCGTGCAGCTGCATGCCATGCCCCCCTTGCATGCGGAGCAGGTGGGCGGGGGGTGGGGCGGGACTCAGAGTGGTAGGGGGAGCAGGACATGACCCAAAATGGCAGTGGGGGCAGGGGGAGCAGGGCAGGACCAGGAGCAGCAGGGGGAGGGTGCGGGACTGGATGCCGGTCCCCATCCCCACTCCCCCACCTCCCCCCGAGCTGGGCAAAAATAGTCAGAAGACGCTGGGCAAAAATATTTAGAAGACTCTTTAGCCCTGTAGTCATTCGAATGAGATGTACATTTCTTTCAGATTCATAACGCAAATTCTAGCCTTCTTCAGCATCCTGGCAGCATATCCATTGCTTCACTGAAAGTTACCAGGAGTAGCCAACAGACAGCAGAATTGGGCATTTAACTAGTCAAGTGTTGGTAGAAAATTGCAAATAGGACCAAATAATACACAGGAAAAGTGCAAGTTTTCATTAAGAAATCTTTTGAAAAACTATAAATAAAATCATCTTTCTATCAAGAAAACTTCAAAAATTGTAGGGTTTTATTTTTTTGTAAAGTTGCTGTAATTTTTGGCTGGTGAAAAAATATGCAGTCAGTTGATCAGCTTGCCAACCTTGAGCAGAATTGCAGAAAAAGTATAGCTTTATTAGGGGAACATAAAAAAAATATTCAAACAAGCGGAGGGCTGGTAACACCTGTGGAATGAAGAATTTAGAAGGAATCAAGTAAATTGTAATTGTCCATGGATCCTGGTCTTCTCTGTTTAAAAATTCCAAAATCTGTGATGAAACCCCAAATTCTTTATTTTTAATCAGAGAATTTGGGATTTTTAAACCCCAAATCCACATTTTTCCACAATTAAAATGAATCACCGCCATATACACATATGTGTTGAACACAATGTTTTATTGATATATTTATCATTTTAAAACAATTTGGAACCCGAGTAGTGCCTCAAGAATTATAATCACATAGATTATAAACTAAAAATTTGGGGGGTTGATTTTGGGTTTTTTATCATGGAAAAAATCAGAGGTCCCTCTGCCCACTTCGCTCACCAGAATGCGGGTCCAGCTGCAGTTGTGTGTCGCCTCCCCCTCCCCCTCCCCCGCAACACACACACAGTTTTGTGGCTCTGAGCAGCCCTGATATGCTGGTGTCCTGCCCCTGCCCATGCCATTGCCCCTGACTACCAACCAGCTACCAGCCTGCAAGGGAAACTCTGCCAGCCTGCAAGTGGAAACCCATGGTTTCCCAGATTTTTCTCCATTAAAGGAGAAAATCCATGTTTCTTCATAGCAAACAAAAAACCCAGATCGCTGATAATGATCTATGAAGTCAAGTGATTCCTTCACTGCTGCCTGAATAGAAATGCTGTTGCTACTGCTAGGCTGCTAATCTTTGGGTGGACAAGGAACAAAAGTGGGATGCAACTTCCCTCCACTGCTCCTCCCCCCACCTCCATAGATCTGCCCCTGAGTATGTTGCCCTGTGTGGTCAGGCCAACTCCCAGGATCTCAATATTTTCACTGTTAGACAGGAAGGTGTGATACAATTGCACATATACAAACACACAAATCAATTAGGTGCATTGCACACTCAATACACATACACAGATTACTAATTCGTATATCATGCACACAATGACATTTTATATATATATATATTATATACCCACACACACTCACCAGTTCACACACATACAACCCACCTACACATACACAGGTAAGTTCCTAACTTGGATGGTACAGTATGTATGTGTGTGCTTGGGGTACCTGGGATATGTGGGGGAAGGTTAAGGTGAGAAAGAGTTAAAGTGTAGGAAGTGAAATTTTCCAGAACCAGGATTAGAACCGGTAGACTAGAGAGAAGCTGGCTGAGAAACTCAGGCTTGGGGTTACTTAAGACGAAGTGGCCCCAGGGTTACTCAAGGTCACTGGTGCAAGGAAAAAAGCCCGGTGGCAAGGAGGAGACAGCCAGGAAAGAAACTGAGGCAGAAACCTGGGAGCTCAGGGGGAAAGGCAGTGGGGACAAGGCAATAACAGTGGCAGAGATCAGGAGAAAAGGTGGTGGAGACAAAGCAAAAGTAGTGGCAGACATCCGGGGAAAAGGCAGTGGGGACAAGACAGTGGCAAAGAAACAGGGGGTTTGGAGGCAGAGAGTAGCTCAGGAGAGGTGTTGGAGGTGGTGGTGAGCCAGAAGCAGGAGAGGGAGAAATGAGACAGAAGTTAGAGGGGCAAGGAGCAGAGATTGGAGCAGGGCTGGAACCGGAGTAAAGCAAAACTCAACGCAGGGGTCCAAATAAGTTTTATTAAATAAACACTGTACTGTACAGCTTGGTTCCTACACACACTCACACAACCACTCCCACACACACACACACGCACACACACACGCAGACAAGCACTCACAGTGGCAGCAGGAGAAAGAGACTCAGTGGAAGGGCTAGAGTCCACGTAGGGAAGATAGGCAGAGTCCAAGTTCTTGGTTGAAGGGCAGGTGGGGGGCGATAGCTACCTATCCAGGCTAGAAAGGGGTCCTTGTCCAGTAGGCATTGTCGAGGAGGGATCTCCGGCAGGGACTCTGGGTGGATAGGTAGTGTGGTGTAGTGCTGGTCCAGATGGAGAGGGCGTCCCAAGGAGTCAGTCTTCACTACCCCTTTTATGGGGCAGACTACCTCTGGTCTCCTATGGGGAGGGCCTGTCCAGGCAAGGTCAGTCCGGTCCCAGAGGACTCCAGGTGTTCTTACTGAGCATGTGCAGCCTGGCACAATGGTGGGTTGCCTCATCTTTGGTTTCTTGAATGCTGAGGGTGGTTCCAAGGGCTGGGTCATTGGTCCAGGTATTGGTGTTGGTAGTTCAGTCATTCAGAGGGAGCTTTTTTTTTTTTGTTACAATATAAGGAAGGAGAAAAAACTAAACAAATACAACTTGCTACCAAAATAAAATGCTGAAGCTTATCCTATGTCTTATCTCACTTATACTTATCTATAGGGGATAGAGAGGGAGAGACAAAGTCAGAAATGGTTGGGGAAGGGGAGGGAATGCATTTAAAAAGAAAAAAAGGAAAACTGGGGGTTTTGCTACAAGTGCAGCCAGACCCTCAGGAGGCAGCTCTGGAGGGGCCAAAGGTAGGGTTGACATCTCTGATACAGATCCAGCGCCAGAGAGATTCGCAGGCTATGGTAACAATCTTCTCTGTATTCAGGTAACCACAGTTCAGGTTTGGTGCCTCATTCTCAAGTGTGATTCTGTGAAGGAGGAAAAGAGCACAGAAACTTAATTGTTGTGAACCTGAAGATAGTCTGAGTAGTGAGTCAATGCCATTTCAGTCACACACAAACCTGTTGTATAAGGAAAATACAATTCTAAATCAATATCTACAGCACTGCTTTCAGAACAACTTAATTTCCTTTATTCCTAGTCACCTCCCCACACTGATGATGGGGTAGGGGTGGGCAGCCATACCCACTAACTTACATGTCATTTGTTAAAGGTGATCCATCCACCCATCGCCACCCTTCAGCTCCTTTTGTCAGTCTAATCCAGTAGTAAAAATTTTCTTTGTAACAGTTGATGATTTCCTATAATTAAATCCAACAAAACTAGAGTTATTTATCTTATAACTGCATACAGTTTACAAAAGGCTTACAGTGAAATCCTGTCTTGATATAGGTCACTGGTATGACTCCAATGTGTATCAATGGCCCAATCCTTTACCCTTTGAGATGACTATAACACAGAGAACTAATACTTGCCTCCAGACTCCTTGTGAAGATCGGACCTAGTCTGCTGCTTTGCCCTGCCAGACCTCCACTAGCAGGGCAGATAGGGCAGCAAAATGAAAGTGAGGTTCTGTTTGTGGACAGCATAGAGGCTATTATTCCACTGGAGGTATGCTGCCAGCTTCCTGATTGTCTTTACCTGTAGAACGAGCTAACTCAGAAATGGGTAAAAAGAGTGGCACTGGTGTGATAAAAAGGAGATGACAGTAGAAGTGAGGCCAAGTAACAGGGAAAAGGATACAAAACATTGAAGGTTAAACCAAAAGAGGGGCTGGGTCACAAAACCAAGCACTAGAAGATCTAGGCTCCTTTCCCAGATGCCCTTCTCCATGCCACCTTGTGGGGAAGTCATCCACTCTGCAGTGACCATTTCTGTGCATTTATTTTGGGTAATTCACAATTAAAAGTAAAATCCCACATTCCTTGCAGGACTTTGTCCTAGCCTCTCTTTTGTTGTGTTAATTTGGATGGAATAAGTGGGCTTGGAGATTTGCAGCTGTTCTTATGACCTTGTCATTGTACAGTATTGAACAGCTGAGGATGGTACAGGTTGTCAAGTATGGAGACTGGGGCTGCATTCTCCCAGAGCAACACCATCCTTAAAAACCTGTATATCCTTTTGTTAGTAATACAGGAAGAAGTAGAGAAAGAGGTTTGAGCTATTAAATGCGAAACAACATTTTCATTTCAACAATATCTCTTTCTCTCTTTTCCTTAGCAACAGAGTTTTAATTAAAGTTCTGTATGGTGACAAGTTAGGATTGAACATGACATTAACTGTCCTTGAGAATGGGGGAAAGCCTGTTGAGATAGGCTGGGGGAGTTCCATGCACCAAAGCACAAGCACACAAGGAAAAGAAAACAACAGCCAGGATCGGAAGTGCAGTTTCTGTCTTTGCTCTTCCACTTGCAATTCCAGCAGGACACGAGTGGAAACAAACAGGCAGAGCACACAGCCCAAGTAGTCACTCAAGACCCGGTAAAATTCTATCATGGTCAGGTTGTTTGTGCCTCTTTTCAAGCTGCCTTTCTGATGTCAGGCTCATGGTACCATTGCAAAGGATGGAACTGCCCTGCCAGGCTGGGCTGCACCCATGAGACAGAAGCAAAAGGAGAGAGATAAGGAAGAGACTAAATCTGGAAGAAAACGGCTCTTCAGGAAGAGCAGGAAACCAAGTACCGGAGCCCATGTGTCATTAAGGATTTATCTGAAGTTAGTGATGGCATGCGGGTCCCGATCTCAGGACATATCTTAGCATTGGGAGGGAGAAGGGGATGGGAACTCAGTAATGTCACTCTGTATCCCATATGATGATAGGGTAATGGTAGAGGCTGCTTCTGTCAGCCCACATTTCCAACACATTTTAAGTCCCTCCCCCAAAATCTTTAATACCTCAACCGGAGAGGTCAGGGAATAACCCAAGTCCTCCTTAATTTGTCCAACAATTAGGCATAATTTCCAACAAACTAATTTTGTTTGGTTAAACACCCTTATACACCCATTCTTAAACTCAGACCCTGAGTTGTGGATGCAAACTTCTGGATTTTGCCTAATTCAGTCTCTCTTTCCTTCTTGTGAAAACAGGCTTGTGCAGCAGGCTGTGCTGGATGTCTGTTATCCTTTGACAGCCTAGAGTTCAGGCCAGTGCACAGCACACCTCAGCCTGGCTAGGGGGATTTTGGGGTCCATCTTAATTTTTTTTTTTGCCTGTAAACTCCCTCCTTGCTACTATTAGTTTCAATGCTGGACATCTCTTATAAGGCATATTTATCCGTTCTCCTTGAAGATCTTTGCTTCCTTATTAGTAGCATAACTAAGGAGGCGGGACTGGACCACCAGCCCTGGGCTCCAACTTAAGAAGGGGAATAAAAATAGCAGCTGCTCTCGCTGCTCTCCCAGGCACTGCTGACAGCCCAGCTGTAGCTGCTGCAATTCAAGCTGCTGCCACCCAGGGCACAGAACTACCCAATTCTACCTCTGACAGAGATCAGAATTTGAAAACGACAAATTGCTAAAAAGGATCTTTGTGAAATTCTAGTTCAAGACTGCATTTTATTTTGCACTTACCAGGTCTGATTTGGTTTTTATTATGACCAGAGAAGCATCAAACGATGAACAGAATTCAAGACTTTCATTCCAATTTCTGATCCCATTGGAAAAATAGTAACATCTCCTGTCGTATCCCATCCAACCTTTTGGGCAGTTGTTGCACCCTTGAGGTGAAGTATGTTTCACTGGGAAGGCAGAAAAAAAATCAGTGGGTCTGTCAATATAGAACATGTTTCTCTATTTTCATGACAAATCCTGAGAAAGCAAGTGAAAACGTGCAGAAAACATGAAGGTTGTACAGCAGAAACAAAGGCTGAAAGTATACCAATTATCTTCACTTAGACTCTGTAACCCAGGGGTGGCTGTGACACTCCTTGGTGGCCACGTGGCTCCTGTAGTGCTCTAGCTCTAGGTCAGGGATGATCAATTATGTGGGTCCACTGGACACATAGGAAGTTTGGGGGAGCTGCTGTGGGCCAAGCCAGCACCCCTACACCTTGCAACAGCTCCCCAAAACTCCCTATATGGGATAGGGCTGTGGGCAAGCAGGGAGTTGGTGCGGGCATGGGTGGGAGAAGCTGTGGCAGGGACACTCAGCTGGGGCCCCTGCCACCACAAGTGCCACCTCCAGGCAACCCTTCTACCCCAAGGATGGGAAGGTGCTGCTGCTTCCTGGATTCAGCAGAGGAGGCAGCTGGACTGAAGGTGTTGCTGGGCATCGGGAAACAGAAGGTGAAGCCACCTCCCTCTCACCACTGCTGG